ACCCTGGCTGCTCTTTAGAAGGCCAGATCCTGAAGAGGAAACTCAAAAGACTTTGGCCACCTCAAGAGAAGGTGGAAAATCCATCCCACTTAAACGGACTCATTGAGGAAGAGCCGAAGTTGTCCGTAGTCCTTCTCTTCCTCCTCCTCCACTCCGCACCCACCCTTCCTTCTAGCAGTGATATCGTTACCTACTTGGGTCATGAAACAAACAAACTCAGAGAGCACCAAGGACTCCATAGTCCTCCTCTTCTGCCTCCTCTTCCTCCTCCGGTCCGCAAACCCCATTCCCCTTCTAGCACTGATGAAGTTACCTAATTGAACCTGCACGGAAACCCCCAAACTGAAAGAGCACCAAAGGACCTACCTCCATCCATCCATCCATCCATCCATCCATCCATCCCAGCTTAATTGAGGAACCACCAAGAAAACAACTCCCACTAACACTGACAGGGTAAGCTGTGATACATAGACAGCAATCCCTCCTTCCCCTTCGAGCGCTGATGATATTACCTAGTTGGGTCATGAAACGGCTGCAGGAAAACAACCATGCTCAAAAGAGCACCACAATATCAACAACGATGGAGAGGCAAAGGAAGAAGACGTGGGGGAGGGCACAGAAGGAGGGGGGGGGGGGGGCTGGATGGAGTCACTGAAGCAGTTTGGCGTGACTCCAGAAGATGGTTGGAGGACAGGAAGGCCTGGAGGAACATTGTCCACGGCGGTTTGCAATGAGTTGGACACGACTTCGCAACTAACAACAACACAGAGGGTTTGTCGTGTTTGGGAGCCAGGTCAGAAGAGCTTATTCGAGGCTTTGGCTAACTCTGGGGGCAGTCAGGTACATAAACCCGCCACACCCCCGAAAAGGGCCATGCCACACACACACACACACACCCCGCACTGGTGTCACGTCCAGGGTGAGCAACCGGCTAGTACTTACCCTCCGCACATGAGGAACTCGCTCGAAGCTCTCCGGCCCACGGTTGCCAAGGGGAGATCATCTGCAGGGAAAAAGAGACAGGTCGCACCAACGGTTTATACACAAAGTTGTTGGTCCACTTGCAATACCCCACTCAGGGAGCCATCGACTCGGATAAACAAACTAGCAGAAAACAACCGTCTGGTCAAGGAACTAGTAAGAATAAACCACAACAGGGCAAGGCGCTAGTATACAAACGGAGAGATAACCTCACTCCCTTCTAGCACTGATGATGTTACCTAGTTGGGTCATTAAATGCCTGCAAGAAAACAATCAAGCTCGGAGACCACCAAGAGACCCTACAGTCCTCCTCCTTCCCTTCCTCCTCTTCTTCCCTCCCCCTCCATAACACCACCTTCCTTCTAGCACTGATGAAGTTACCTAGTTGGGTCATGAAACATCTGACAAAAACAACCCAATTCAGAGAGAACCAAGGATGCCATATTCTCTTCCTCCTCCTCCTCTACTCCGCACCCCCCCTTCCTTCTAGCACTGATGGTGTTACCTAGTTGGTCATGAAACATCTGGGAAAAAAACAACAACTCAGAGAGCATCAAGGACTCCATAGTTCTCCATAGTCTTTCTCTTCCTTCTCCTCCACTCTGCACCCACCCTTCCTTCTAGCAGTGATATCGTTACCTACTTGGGTCATGAAACAAACAAACTCAGAGAGCACCAAGGACTCCATAGTCCTCCTCTTCCTCCTCCTCCTCCGGTCCGCAAACCTCATTCTCCTTCTAACACTGATGAAGTTACCTAATTTAACCTGCACAGAAACCCCCAAACTGAAAGAGCACCAAAGGACCTACCTCCATCCATCCATCCATCCATCCCAGCTTAATTGAGGAACCACCAAGAAAACAACTCCCACTAACACTGACAGGGTAAGCTGTGATACATAGACAGCAACCCCTCCTTCCCCTTCTAGCGCTGATGATATTACCTAGTTGGGTCATGAAACGGCTGCAGGAAAACCACCAAGCTCAAAGAGCACCACAATATCAACTGGGACTGACTCCGCACTGGTCACGTGAGGATTTGTTTAACACCCCTCAGCGATGTGTTGACCTCCTTAATTAAGGTTGTTAAGTGAGAACTACCTGTAGAAGAAATGAAGCTTATTTTTTCTTTTTTTCCCCACTGTCCGCCATAAAGTGATTAAAGCCGCACCTAGGTTTGATCCTAAACGGTTCTTCCCCACTGCAATTCTGTTCGTATCTCCGGCTCTGGGTTTTGTAAAAATTGTTGGTCTTTGAAGGTTCAGAAAAGGAAAGGAAAGGAATTCAAAGAGGAATGTATCCCTCTGATAGAGAGAAGAAAAACATGTTTCTAATTCCTTTGAATCTGAGATAACTGTACAAACACAGGTGCCCTGATAAATGAAAAAAACGAAAAAGAAAAAGAAAGTTCTCAAAACTTCTCAAATCTTTTACTGGTCTCGTGAAACAGATTTGCTCTGACCCTAATTGTGCCCCGGAGTGGTTCCCATGGCACAAAGGTAACTGTTGCCCAGATTACAAAAAAGAAAGATTTTGGACAACTAAGAATACAAATCAAGCAGGAAGCTAACGATTACTACCAACCTGCCTTCCATGGAGGACCTGTATCCTGCACGAGTCAGACTGTGAAAATATCTACAGACCCCTCACATCCCGGACATAAACTGTTTCAACTCCTTCACTCATAACGACGCTATAGAGCACTGCACACCAGAACAACTAGACACAAGGACAGTTTTTTCCTGAACGCCATCACTCTGCTAAACAAATAATTCCCTCAACACTGTCCAGCTATTTACAAAGTCTGCACTATTACTATTAATCCTCCCAGCCTTTCTTTCACACACCCCCTCCCACTTGTGACTGTATGACTGTAACCTTGCTGCTTGTATCCTTACAATTTTTATTGACTGTTTCCTAGTGTGATTTATTGCTTATTTGTACCCTAGGACTATTATTAAGTGATGTGCCTTATGATTCTTGATGAATGTTTATTTTTATTTATGTACACTGAGAGCTTATGCGCTGAAGACAAATTCCTTGTATGTCCAATCACACTTGGCCAATAAAGAACTCTATTTTATTCTATTCTGTTCTATTCTAATTTCTATTCTATTCTATTTTTTATTCTATTCTATATTCTGTTCTATCCTATCCTATCCTATATCTATTCCATTTAATTCTATTCTATTTTTTCATTCCACTATTATTCTATACTATTCTATTTTCTATTCTATTCTATATTTTGTCCTATCCTATTTTATCCTATTCAAAATCTATTCCATTTAATTCTATTCTATTCTATTAACTTATTTCTATCCTATCCTATTCCATTCCATCCATCAGATTGTAAAAACACCACAAGGGAGCGGTTGGATGAGGAGACCCGAACTCATTGGTAGCCTCACAATGCAACGAACAAGGACATCCATTCAATTTTGCAGCTACTAAGATTTATTTTTATTTATTTATTTGATTTGTCAATTGTTTACAAGATAATAGGTATAAGTATATACACAGTTATGAATACATAAAATGGGTACATATAAGAAAAATAAAAAGAAACAATAGGACAGGGATTGTAGGCATGATTGGTGCACTTATACACGCCCGCTGCAGACTTCTTAGGAAAGGGGTGAGGTCAATAGTAGACAGTCTAAGGTTAAAGTTTTTGGGGTTTGGGGAAGAAACCACAGAGTCAGGTAGAGTATTCCAGACATTGACCACCCTGTTGCTGAAGTCGTATTTCCTGCAATCAAGTTTGGTGTGATTAACCTTGAGTTTGTATCTATTGTTTGCTCTTGTATTGTTATGGTTGAAGCTGAAGTATTCATTGACAGGTAGGACATTGCAATGTATGATTTTATATACCATACTTAGATCAGACCAAAGACGGCATAATTCAAGGTTTTCTAGGTAGAATTTCAAGTCTGGTAGCATAAGGTATGACTGATGAGCTGTATTCAAGTATTGGTCTAGCAAATGTTTTGTATGCTCTAGTTAGTAGTGTGATATTACCAGAGGAAAAACTACGTAGGATTAGGTTAACAATTCTTAATGCCTTTTTGGCTATGTAGTTACAGTGGGCTCTAGCACTTAGATCATTAGAGATGAGTACTCCAAGGTCCTTTACAGAGCTTGGATCATCAACAAGATCTTGACTATTCCGCTTGTATTTTATTTTCTGATTTTTTTGCCAGTATGTAAGACAGAGCATTTATTTATTGAGATTTGAAGTTGCCATTTGCTTGACCATTCTGATACACAGTCAAGATCTTTTTGAAGGGTAGCAGTATTGTCTGTGGTGTTGAATAGCTTTACATCATCAGTGAAAAGAATGCAGTTGCTCTTAATATGATCACAGAGGTCATTTATATAGAGTATGAAAAGAGTTGGTCCTAGAACACTGCCTTGGGGAACACCACTATTGAGAGATACAGAATTTGACAGGACACTCCCAATTTTGACCATTTGTTGTCTGTTTGACAGGAATGCTTCTATCCAGTTATGTAGGTGTCCAGAGATACCATAAGATTTTAGTTTTAGGAATAGTTTGTCGTGTACCACTGAATCAAAGGCTTTACAGAAATCTATGTAGATTGTGTCAGTTGCTTTGCCCTGATCGAGTTGTGTAGTCCATATGTTTTTGCAGTGTAAGAGTTGCAGATTACAGGATAGTTTTTTCCTGAATTCAAATCGTTTATTAGAGAGTAGGTTGTTTGTCTCTAAGTGGAGGATGATGGATTGGTTAATAATTGATTCCATGACTTTACAGGTGATGCAGCATAAAGAGATTGGTCTGTAATTTTCAACTAGGCTGGGGTCTCCCTTTTTGAAGATGGGGATGACCGTGGCTTGTGACCATAGGTTAGGCAAGGAGCTGGTCCTGAAAGATTTTTCAAAGATTATGCTTAGAGGTTTGGCTATGGCAGTGGATAGCTTTTTTAAGAAGTAGGCACATATTCCATCCAGTACAATAGATAGGGATGGTTTTAGATTGCGTAGTGCTTTTACAACATTGTCTACTGTAAAATCAATACATATTAGATCATTGTAGTTGTCTGTGGTTCGGCTAGGAAATACTGGGCATGATCCATTGCTGTTTACAACTACTGAGCCAAAGAATGTGTTAAAGAGGTTGGCTTTAATGGTGTTGTAGTTGCAGTCTTTGCCATTAGGTCCTTTCAGGGGTGGGATGGACCTTGAGTCTTTTAGTTTGTTGTTTACAAAATTGTAAAAAGCGCGGGTGGAATTGGTGCGTAGAAGGTTTTTCTCTTGTTTAATGTAATAATTGGTGCATTCAGTCTTTACCTGGTGGCATAAATTTTTGTATCGGCTTTTGAAATTGGCAAAGTGACCAGATTTGTTTTTCCGCCAGAGTGATCTCTTTTTAGACTGAAGTTTCCTTATTGTTATGGGTAATCTGTTTTTTTGTTTGTTTTGGGAATTGTTGTTGGTACTTATAAGATGGTTGGACGAGCAGGCAAAAAAGCAAACAAACAGCCAGGGAAATGGTTGAAGCTGGAAAACAGGCCCCTTGTCAGTCCAACAGGAGAGTGCGGCTTATTAGGTATTTTGGCAACAAGGGTTTGGCAGCACAAAGAAACAACAGCCAATGACTTATTTTTGTGTTTCCACAAAAATAAGATTGTGTCTCATATTAACTTTTGCTCCAAAAGATGCATTAGGGCTTATTTTCTGGTTAAGTCTTATTTTTGGAGAAATACGGTACTAAATGCATCTATCTGGCTGACAATCTTAACTGGGGCTTATTTTCAGGGTAGGGTTTATATTACGAGCAGTCTGAGAAAAAAATAACGCTAGGGCTTATTTTCCGCTTGGGTCTTATTTTTTTTTGAGGAAACACGGTAAACAGCCATCAACACCCCAAATCAACAACTGAAAAGCCGCACACGGCAGGCACCATATAAATACCACACACACAAGAGCCCCAAAGCACACACACATGTTGCTAGAGAGAAGTTCTTGGAAAATGGGCTCCAAAGCTCGGAAGACAAAACTTCCAGTCCTGGTGACCGATCCAGATTGGATCCTGCAATACGAATCCAATCTGCTACAAAATCGCACAACTTAAACCCTGCCACGCTCCTCACGAGAGCGAGAACTGGGGCGGGGGGGAAGCAGCCAGTTATTCATAAAGTGGAAAAACTCACACAACTGGTCGGAAGAGATGTTGTGCGGAACCAGGACAAAGTCATCGGTGTCGCAGGAGGAATTCTTGCTACTGGTGCTGGCAGAGTCTTTGGACACCTGAAGGTAATTCGGAGGCCCCAAGGGAGGAGAAGACAGGTTGTCTTCCTGGATGTGTTGCATATCTGGAAGGGACTGGAGAGAAGAGGGTGGAGTCAGAGGCAACAGGTTTGCAAAGACAGATGGGGAAATTTATTTATTGATTGAATTTATATTGCCGCCTATTCCCCCATGGCGACTTGAGGAGGCTTACAGAATCCAAAACCATATTTAAAATAAAAAACAATAAAAAGTAACAAAAATGATCAAATAAATTAATAAAGTACAATAGAACAAAATCTGGGGGAAAAAATAAATACCCCACCCCTCAAATTCCCACCCCATCCTGCCCCGACGAGAGCAGATCACACGAGCCATTTGATGGGCTCCATCCCGCTCTGGATCCCCCCAGGCCCGCTGGCAGAACCAGGTCTTCAGTGCCTTCTGGAAGAGTATTAGAGAGGGGGCCATTCTAATCTCTAGGGCAAGGGTCTTCCAACTTGGCAAGTTTAAGACTTGTGGACCTCAACTCCCAGAATTCCTGAGCTAACATGACTGGAGGAGGAATTCTGGGAGTTGAAGTCCACAAGTCTTAAAACTGTCAAGTTTGAAGACACCTGGAATAGTTAGATAGAGAAAGGGAGGTAGAATAGATAGATAGAGGTGAAGGAGAGAAAGATAGAAGAGATAGATAGAAGAGATAGATAAAGAGGTAGAATAGAGAGAGAGAGAGGGAGGATGGGATAGACAGACAGACAGACAGAATAGATCATGGGTCTTCAAAGTTGGCCAGTTTGACTGGTGGACTTCAACTCCCAGAATTCCTGAGCTAACATGACTGGAGGAGGAGGAATTCTGGGAGTTGGAAGTCCACAAGTCTTCAAGCTGTCAAGTTTGAAGACCCCTGCTCTAGGGGAATGATGTTCCAGAGAGAGGGAGCCACCACGGAGAAGGCCCTTCTTCCGGGTCCCACCAAGTGTATCTCCCTCGGGGCAACATTCCCTGCCTTCCCGCTCTGGGATTCCATCTCTTATCTCTCTATAGCAGAAAGGCTGGCAGCTTGAAAGACCTGTGGACTTCAACTCCCAGAATTCCCCAGCCAGCTTGTTTGAGACTTCAGAAAAAGTGCAGAGAAGAGCAACTGAGGGGATTCAAGATAGATAGATAGATAGATAGATTGATTTATTTATTGTCATTGTACTCAGAAACCTGAGAACAACGAAATAAGGTGCTCTTCCACAACATACAACTGAACAACACCAAAAGACATATACAAATAACAATGTAAAACAAATTCAAAATTCAAGGCCTGGAGGCTAAAACATATGAAGAACGGCTGCAGGAATTGTGTATGTCTGGCTTAATGAAAAGAAGGACAAACCTCCTGACTTTATGATCCTAAAGAAAACCTTGGAATGTGCAGAAATGGACAGGCTACCAATGGAACTCAGAAAACAAGAGGAGTCAGAATACAATGAGATTTGGAACTGATGGTATAGGTGGCTGGAAGGTAGACAAGAAATAAATAAAAAGTCAAATAGAAGGATACGATAGAAATTGGTCAATATTATATGTAAATTTATTTGTGATAAATAATTAGGATGAAATTCTGTATTATATCTAAATAAGTGAACGACCATTTGATACAATGAGAGAGCTGTCAATTAGAGTGAACATTGCATTTGCTTACGTTGCGACAAATGGAATGTTTTGATTTTACTGTATGTATATAAATTTATTTCATAAAGTATTTTTATAAATAAAGAAAAGAGAAAAGAAGGACTGGGGGGGGGGAACACGATAGCAATCTTCCAGTATTTGAGGGGCTGCCAGAAAGAAAGGTGGGGGGGTGTTTGACTTATTTTCAAAAGCACCGAAAAGCAAGGCAAGAAAAAAAATATGGATGGAAACTAATTGCAACCTGGAATTGAGGAGAAATTTTCTAACAGTGAGGACAACAAAAAAAGTTTTTTTTTTATAAAAAAAGAAGTCATTAAACCAAAGCATTTTTTTTTTAACTTTTGGCCAATGATATGCTCGGATAAGCTTGGGTACATATGCAGTTTCCGGCTACAATTCAGGGCCTCCTCCGCTGCTTGTTTTGACCTGAGATATCCCACAAGGAAAACGCGTCCTCTTCGCTGAGCAATCACCCTTCCCCTTAAAGTTCACAAGTTAAAAAAAAAAAAAAAGTTCTTTGGTCCAGTTCACACGGTATTTTATTTATTTATTTACTCCCATTGATGGGGCTCGCCCATTTTCATCAAAGAAGCGACCTCCGGATGGGGCGTACAAGTGAAGCGAACGCAATTAATCCATACCTAAAAACCATTATCACGGTTAAGGATCGAAGAGGCACATTTAAAAACAAAAGCGAGAACAAAGACAGCAGCAGATTGAAGGGATGTAAATAAAAGTATGAACAAACATACTAGTTCACCTGTCCCTGAGGGTCTGAGGCCTCCTGGCCTAATCAGATCTTAACAGCCGTGGTTGGCACAGTGGTTAGAATGCAGCACTGTAGGATTTAGAGGTTGTGTGATAGCAGCCTTCCAATATCTGAGGGGCTGCCACAAAGAAGAAGGGGTCAACCTATTTTCCAAAGCACCAGAGGGCAGGACAAGAAGGAACAGATAGGGTAGGGTAGAGTAGAATAGAATAAGTGTATAGAATAGTATAGAGTAGAGTAGAATAGAGTACTGTAGAATAGGATAGAACAGAACAGAATACAGTAGAATAGGAGTGTAGAGTAGAGTAGAATATAGAATAGAATAGTATAGAACAGAGCAGAACAGAAGAATAGAATAGAAATATAGAATAGAATAGAGTAGAGTAGAATAGAATAGAGTAGGAGTATAGAGTAGAGTAGAGTAGAGTAGAGTAGAGTAGAATAGGAGTATAGAATAGAATAGAGTAGAATAATATAGAATAGAGTAGAATAAAAATATAGAATAGAGTAGAGTAGAATAGAATAGGAGTATAGAGTAGAGTAGAATAGGAGTATAGAATAGAATAGAGTAGAATAGAATAAAATAGGAGTATAGAGTAGAGTAGAATAGGAGTATAGAATAGAATAGAATAATATAGAATAGAGTAGAATAGAAATATAGAATAGAATAGAGTAGAATAGAATAGAGTAGAATATAATAGGAAGATAGAATAGAAATAAGAATGGAATGAAATAGAAGAGAGTAGAATACAATAGAACAGAAATAGAACTAGAACAGAACATAATAGAATTAGAACAAGAATAGATTAGATTAGAATAGAAATAGAAATAGAACAGAATAAAATTAGAACAAGATTAGACTAGATTAGGTTAGAATAGGAATAGAACAGGAATAGAACAGAACACAACCGAGAATGGAATAGAATAGAATTAAATGGAATAGAATTAGAACAGAACAGAAATTCTTTCTGGGCCAAGTGTGACTGGACCCACAAGGACTTGGTATCTTGTGCATAAGCTCTCAGCGTGCACACATATAGCAAATAAATGGTAAAGTCATGAGATACCAACAGGAGACGGTGGTAGGACAGATGAGATATGAGGTGATCATAGCAACACAGCCCGCTACATACAGTAGGTAAATTTCTTAGGCCTAAGACAGCGTTACGGGAATTGAAGATGGGAGCTTAATAAAGAGAGACCCGACCTAGAATGAAGGGGGAAGTTGGTGGCAGGGACACCATTGGATGCACAGGACAGGCCCATCCCTCTGCCCCCCCACCCCCTTCCCCCAATTCAGAAATACAGAGAACCAATTTTCCAAATCTGAGCAGAACTTACTGGAGGAGAAGCAAACCGGCAGGAGGGAGAGCTACCACAGGATCCGCCAGAGACCGACCCAGCAGGTGCCGGAACAGGTACAGGACAAGCTGAATGGAGGGGGGAGAAAAGGGCAGAAATGACACCACGGACAGGTGGGCTGCAAAACGTGAACCATTTCAAAAGGCCAGTCGTCACTCTCTGTCCAGGGGTATCTGGGCAGGTGCATGTCTCCAGGACCTGAAAAAGGTGGGCAGTAGTCTAGGTGAGGGGTCTCCAAACTTAACCACTTTAAAACTTTTGGGCTTCAAACTCCCAGAGTTCCCTAGCTGGGCACGTGGATTTCAACTCCCAGAATTCCCTAGTCAGACACATGGACTAATTCCCAGAATTCCCTAGCCAGACATGTGGACTTCAACTCCCAGAGTTCCCTAGCCAGACACATGGACTAATTCCCAGAATTCCCTAGCCAGACATGTGGACTTCAACTCCCAGAGTTCCCTAGCCAGACACATAGACTAATTCCCAGAATTCCCTAGCTGGACATGTGGACTTCAACTCCCAGAATTCCCTAGCCAGACAAGTGGACTTCAACTCCCAGAGTTCCCTAGCTGGACACGTGGATTTCAACTCCCAGAATTCCCTAGCCAGACAAGTGGACTTCAACTCCCAGAATTCCCTAACCAGACAAGTGGACTTTAACTCCCAGAATTCCCTAGCCAGACACATGGACTTCAACTCCCAGAGTTCCCCAGCTGGACACATGGACTTCAACTCCCAGAACTCCCTAGCCAGACCCGTGGACTTCAACTCCCAGAGTTCCCTAGCCAGACTTGTGGACTTCAACTCCCAGAGTTCCCCAGCGAGCCATGCTGGCTGGGGATTTCTGGGAGTTGAAGTCCCTAAGTCTTAAAGTTGCCAAGTGCTGGATGGGGAATTCTGGGAGTCGAAGTCCACTAGTTATAAAGGGGTTAAGTTTGGAGACCCCTGGTCCAGAGCTTGCAAATACTGCAGCAGATAACAAGACAGGGTAGTCCTTGGTTAACAATGACTCGTTTAGTGACGGTTTGAAGTTACAACATCACCAAATGATGGGGAGGTGGGAATCGGCTGCCACTCATGAGCGTTGCGGAGTCCTTTCCTCCCCTCATCCGTTTTTGGGGACCTTCCCTGCTGCCTCCCCGTGAGCAGGGGAGGACAATAGGGAAGGTTGGAGGTTGCCCCCAGCCTCTCTGGGGGTTCATAACCTGCCAGCCGCTCACGCACCCATCGGGCAGCAGCCCTGCTACTCTCAAGTACAGGCAGTCCTCGACTTACAACAGTTCAATGAGTGACCGTTTAAAGTTACGACGGCATCGAAAAAAAGTGACCGATGATTGCTTTTCACACTTAGCGACCATTGCAACACCCACCCACCCCGGTCACCTGATCAAAAATTCAGACACTTGTCTTTAGGACGGTTTTACGGTGTCCCTGGGGGTCATGTGATCCACTTTTGGGACTCTCGGAACAAGCAAAGCCAATGGGGGAAGCCACGATTCGTTTCGCCACCCTGCTACTAATTTAACTGCTGCGATTCGCTTAACAACGGTGGTCAGAAAGTCGTCAAATGGGACCAAACTCACTTAACAACTGTTCCGCTTAGAAACAGTAATGTGGGACTCAATTGCGATTGTAAGTAGAGGACTGCCTCTCTAAAAAGCAAACTATTAACCCAAAGTCTTGATGATTAAGGAACACCCATCGGCTCCCAGAACATTCTACAGGTAGTCCTCGACTTGTAACAGTTCGCTTCCTGACCATTCAAAGTTACAACGGCGCTGGGAAAAGCGACGTATCACCGTTTTTCACGCTTACGACCGTTGCAACGTCCTCACGTGATTTATATTCGGACGCCTGGCAACTGACTCACATTTACGATGGTTGCAAGGGTCCCGGGATCAACTTTTGGCAACCTTCTGACAAACGAAGTCCGCGGGGGAAGCCAGATTCACTGAACAACCAAGTTACCAATGGCAGTGATTCACTTAACAACGGTGACAGGAAAAGTTGTAAAACAAAAAAAAAAAGGGAAGCACAAAACTCAAACAAACGCCTCACGGAGCAGCCTACATTTGGGGCTTCCTGGCGGTCGTTAAGTCGAGGACTACCTGTGTTGGAAATCAATCCAAGGTGAAAACAAGACCGATCCTGGTTTCGCCTCCCATTCCCGAAAAAGCCAGAAGGGAAGATCTCGGCGTTTTTATGGAAAGCTCAAAAAGGGTTATTCGAGAAGGACGATTTCGGCTTACATTTTTTGACCGTCGAAACTTGATCCAGGAACGGGTGATTGAAGAAAGCTTCTGTAAGAGAAAAAGACAAAAAAAACGCCACAAACTGAGTTCACAGCAACTGCCTTTAACGAAGATCAAAGCCCGCTTGGGGCTAGGAAATGACACGGTTCAGCAAAGGTTTTCAAAGGCACAGACCACGCAGTTTGGAACGGACAAAAAAATAAAAACAAAAAACGTACCCTGGGAATTTAAAGAAGGCCTCAGGCTTCGCGCAGTGACCGGCCAGTGATATTGAGTGATCTGTTGCAGAGCTGGAATCTCTCCTGGTGTCTTGTGACTGTCACTTCCCAGCTGGTGGGAGATGCCGTCTCAAAGCATCCAAGAGAAAACCAAGCTGGAGAGCTTTCTATTTATTACATCATGATTTTTCCCAATAGTTTGCCATTTTCAGATGGGGTGGACTTCAACTCCCAGAATACCCCACGGTACTTTGAGAGGTGAAGTCAATCCATCTAATCTCTAAGGCCCGAACAAAGGTGTTTATTTCAAGAGGCTTTGCTTTTTTTTTTTCTTGAAGATTGTGGTTGTAAGTCAAGGACTACCTCTATAAAACATTTTTTTACGGAGTCCACACTCTGGATCCTCATTTTACTGACCTTGGAAGGATGGAAGGCTGAGTCAACCTTGAGCCGGCCAGGATCGAACTTTCTGGCTGTGGGCAGAGTTAGCCTGCAATACTGCATTACAACCACTGCACCACCATGGATTCCTTCCTTCCTTCCTTCCTTCCTTCCTTCCTTCCTTCCTTCCTTCCACCCTCCCTCCCTCCCTCCCTGTTCTCCTTCCCTCCATTTCTCCTTCTCTCTTAATTTTGTCTTCCTTCTTTCTTGCCTTCCTTCGCAAGGAATAGACTTATATACTTCTTTATAGTGCTTTACTGCCCTCACTAAGCAGTTTACAAAGTCAGCCTCTTGCCCACAACAATCTGGGTTCTCACTTTACCCATCTCGGAAGGATGGAAGGCTGAGTCAACCTTGAGCTGGTCAGGATCGAACTTCCTGGCTGTGGGCAGAGTTAGCCTGCAATACTGCATTACAACCACTGCACACCATGGATTGATTCCTTCCTTCCTTCCTTTCTTCTTTTCTTTCTTCCTCCCTCCCTCCCTTCCTCTTTTCTCTGTTCTCCTTCCCTCCATTTCTCCCTCTCTTTCTCTTCACTTTGCCTTCCTTCCTTCTTGCCTTCCTTCGCAAGGAATAGCACTTAGACTTATATATCACTTTACAGACCTCTTTAAGCAGTTTCCAGAGCCAGCCTGTTGCCCCCAACAAACTGGGTCCTCATTTGACCCACCTCGGAGGAACAGAAGGCTGAGTCAACCTGGAACCAGTCAGGATCAAACTTCCCGGCAGTGGGCAGAGTTAGCTTGCAATACTGCCTTCTAACCACTGCGCCACCACGGCTGTTAAGTCAAGGGCCGCCTGAACGGCGGTGATTTCATTTCAATGGACCGACTGTCACAGGCGGACCGTCCTTAAATTTCACGAAGGGCAAATCCGCGCAGAGGCAGCTTTCTTGCCAAGACCACTTATTTCCTTCCATCTGAGATGGGGAGGCCTATTAATTCTCCTCCCAGAGGACGCTCCGAGATGCTGGAGTGGGAATCGGATCGATTAAAGAGAGCATCTGGATTACGGTCAGAAACTGGCAGGCGCATCCTGGGGGCTTTTTCTATCATTTGGAATATATTGCATCCAATTTTGGTCACCGCGATATACGGAGGCTTTGGAAAGAGGGCAGAGAAGAACGACAAGGATGATTAGGGGACTGGGGGCGAAATCATAAGAAGAACGGTTGCAGGAACTGGGTAGATCTAGTTTAATAGGAGCCTCGGTGGCGCAGTGGTTAGAGTGCAGGACTGCAAGCTGCTCCTACTGCAATTTGGCAGATCGAATCCCACCAGGTTCAAGGTCGATTCAGCCTTCCGCCCTTCCGAGGTCGGTAAAATGAGGACCTAGATTGTTGGGGACGATATGCTGACTCTGTAAACTGCTTTGAGAGGGCTGTGAAGCACTGTAAAGCGGTATATAAGTCTAAGTGCTATTGCTATCAATGAAAAGGACTACGGGGGGGACGTGATAGCAGTCTTCCAATATCTCAGGGGCTGCCACAAAGAAGAGGGAGTCAAGCTATTCTCCAAAGCCCCTGAAGGCAGGACAAGAAGCAACAGAGGGAAACTAATTGCAATTTAGAACTAAGGAGGAATTTAGTGACAATAAGAACAATTAACTAGTGGGACAATTTGCCTCCAGAAGTTGTGAATGCTTCAACGCTGGAAGTTTTTAAGAAGAGATTGGGCAACCATTTGTCTGAAATAATATAGGGATTCATGCTTGAGTAGGAGTGTTAGGGATACACCCTAGCAGAATCTGCACGGCAGTCAGGCAAAATATGTGAGATAACTGTTTTTGTAGCTTACACTCAGTAAAACAGATACACAGTGCTAGTTAAATAGTTTATTCCAGTAAGAGTTATAGCACAGTCAAACAGTCCATATATCATTCACTAGTTCAGTCCGTCCAGGGATTATTCAGTTGCAAATTCCAGTGTTGAAAAAGAGAGGTCGGTAAACTTACAGATACCAGTCCAGGAATATATCTCCTCGCAGTAGAGATATGAAGAAGTGAAAAACTCCTCTCTTCCTTCAGCAACTCAGCAGTAGGGAAAACACGCAGTTAACAAACCATCAATTCAGTATAGTCAGGAATCGTCAGCAATCGTCAGGTTCTCTTGCTCCCTCTTATGGCGGTTTCACACCGCACCCAAAATTACATGCTTTGCAGTTTAAAGTGACACACACTTAAACTTACTATCATAGTCTATATATATTATTTTACCCAAACTATGTTAGGTAACCTATGTTATTCCTAACAAGGAGGTTGGAGTATCTGTACAACATAATTTCTCAATCCTTTGGCCTTCGAGGGACGTCCAGAAATGGATGGAAACTAACGAAGAAGAGAAGCAACCTGGAGTTAAGTAGAAACTTCCTAACAGTGAGGACAATTAACCAGTGGAACCGCTTGCCACCAGAAGTTGTGGGTGCTTCACATCACTGGAGGTTTTTACGAAGAGATTGGACAGTCACTTGTCTGAAATGGTATACGGTCTCCTGCTTGAGCTGTGGGCTGGACTAGAAGACCTCCAGGGTTCCTTCCAGCTCCATTCTGAACTGAACCTCCAAGGTCGTTCCAACTCTGTGATTCTTTGTTCTATCAAACAAATCTTGAGCTTTTTCTATCAAACCATCATAATTGATTAAAACAAAACAAAACAAAAGCTCTCAACTTTGATTGCCTTGGAGGGATGTTAAGAGGTGAAAAGACGATAAAAAGCTGCCTGATGAATTGTTATCAGTTTTATCAGGATTGTAACCTCGGGACAGAAATCCACATGTCTCCTTACATTCTTTCTGCTCTCAAGACTGTAAAAAAGGAGAAAGACCATTGTGATGGCTCACCAAGGGAGAAAAAGCACGCAAAACCGACAACTAGGTAACACAGGTAGTCCTCGACTTACAGCAGTTCGTTTCGTGCCACAACGAAGTTACAGCGGCGCTGAAAAAAGGGACTTAGGGCCGTTTTCCGTAGCATCTCTATGCTCAAGTGATCAAAATTCAGAGGCTTGGCAGCTGATTCTTATTTACGACAGTCGCAGTGTCCCTGGGTCATGTTTTGCGACCTTCTGTTGGGGTTCGCCGGCAGCAGGTGCAGACAGGTGAGCTCTCGGAGAGCGAGGACTCGGATGAGGGGCCTAAGCGTGATGCAGGGATGGGGACAGGATCATCAGTGGAGTGGAGTGCTGCCTTTGGAGATTGTGGAGGCTGGCAGCAGTGAGGAAGAGGTCCCCGAGGAGCCTGTGCCAAGGGCACATGCAGAAAGGATTACTCGGAGAAAAGAACAATTACAGCAGCACAGGCGACTCGGGAGTAAGGCTGCAAGGTAATGGCCCCTCCCTGAAGAGATAAAAGCCAGCTGAGAAACCGCAGCTCTTTGCAGGAAGCAAAGAAGTTTTTGCACTCAAGCCTTGTGGACGTTCCGAGTATTTTGGTTGGTGTTTGGAGACTCTTTGGTTTATTGTTTAGGAACTTTATCTGTTGTTCTTGGCAGCCTTGAAAAAACTTGGCAAGGCTTTCCTGTCAGAGCTAATTAGTTGGAAGCAGCCTTTTATCTGTGAAGGAACAGGATTCGTGAGTGAAACAGTAAAAGGTTGTGGTGCTACCTTTGTCTTGTGTTTGCTCTCTTGGAACCAAGTTTGGTTCGGAACACCTTTGGACAATCAAAGCCAATGGGGAAGCCAGGTTCATTTAACAACCGGGTTATTAATTTAGCAACTGCAGCGATTCACTTAACAAATGTGGCAAGAAAGGTCATAAAATGGGGGCAAAACTCACTTTGACAAATGTTTTGCTTTAGCAACAGAAACTTTGGGGCTCAACTGTGGCCGTAAGTCAAGGACTAGCTGCAGTCTTACATTCCTTCGGCTCTCAAAACTTTAAAAAGAGGACAAAGGCAGCCGTATTGGTTTGAGAGGTGGGGGCGAAAACCCCCGCAATCTACAACTGTGTTAAGGCTATTGTTGGGGCTATCCAAAAGCACACACAAACTCCCACACGTATGTGTGTGTGTGGGTGTGTGGGTGTGCACGTTTGTTGATCTTATGCCGGCAGTAACTGCAAAGGTTGGTAGTTGTAATGCTTTCTCTCTAAGTGCCGCCGCTTTTCGACAAACAAGCAGAGCGTTCAACTTTCAACCTTCCAGGTGGGGACGATAAGTCATCTTTCTACGGACAAAAGGTTCCTTGGGACTTCGCAGGAAAAACAGTGTGTGTTTTTCTGTGTTTGTGTGTGTGTGTGTGTGTCGATGATTATGGGGTGGATGCTCTCCACACGCCTCCCATATAAACCTCCCCCGTTAAGAAAAAAAAAAAAACTGCTTTGCGTTTTTCCACCGCGAATTGTTAACAAAGCTTAAAGCAAGGTGTGTGTGTGTGTGTGTGTGTGTGTGTGT